TAAAGTCAGGACCCCAAAATTTAGGAAGGCAAGCTTCCAGCTCTTCAAGAAGTTAGTCAATAGGACCCCATGGGAAACTGTGTTCAGGGACAAGGGAGCAGAAGAGAGCTGGCAGACCCTTAACGATGCCTGTCATAATTGCAAGAGTTAGTGATCCCTAGGTGCAAGAAATCAGGCATGGAAGGCAAGAGACTGGCATGGTTCAGTTTTAACTACGACCTACTAGTTAAAATAAAGGGTAAAAAGCAATTCATAGACAGTGCAAGTAGTGCTAGCTATCCTGGGAAGAGTGTAGACATGCAGTCTGGTTGTGCAGGGATGGGTTAAGGAATGTCAAGACCCAGCTGGAGCTGAACTAGGCAGGGGATGGAAAGAATAACAAGAAGGGCTTCTACAGGTATGTTAGCCAGAGAAGGAAAGTCAAAGAAATTGTACCTGCCTTGTTAACAAAGGCCAGCAAACTGGTCACAAAGGACAAGGAGAAGGCTGAGATACTCAACCACCTTTCTGCCTGTCTTGAATGGCAGCCTCTCTTCTCACACCTCTTGAGTGGGTGGACTGCAAAATGGAGCTTTGAGAGCAAAGTCCCTTCCACTGTAAGAGAAGATGTTTCATTACCACTTGAGGAACATGAGCATACATGTATCTATGGGATGTGATGAAATGTATCCCAGAGATCTGAAAAAATGGTTAATAGAGTTGCCAAGCCACTTTCTGTGCTATTCAAAAAGTTTGACAGTCAAGTGAAGTTCCAGGTGACTGGAAAAAGGGAAACACTGAACCCATCTTCAAAAAGGGTAGAAAGGAGGACCCTGGGAGCTACTGACTTCTGTGCTTGGGAAGATCATGGAACAGATCCTCCTAAGCTATGCTAAGGTATGTTGAGGACAGGGAGGTGATTTGAGACAGCCAGCATGGTTTCACCAGGGCAAGTCCTGCCTGACCAAACTTCTATGATGGAGTGACAATATCAGTGCATATGGGAAGGGTTATTATTTCCTCTGCCCTTCTTTAAGGCCTTTGACATGATCCCCCAAAATATCCTTTTCCCTAAATTAGAGAGATATGGATTTGATGGGTGGACTGCTAGGTGGATGAGGAACTGGTTAATTGGTTGCATCTGAGGGGTAGTTGTCAGTGGCTTAGTGTCCTAATGGGTATTGGTAACAAGTGGTATCCCTCAGGGGTACATACTAGGACCAGCGCTATTTAATATCTTCCCCAATGACACAGACAAAGGGATTGAGCAAGTCTGCAGATGACCCGGAGCTGAATGGTGCAGGTGACATGCCTGAGGGTCAGGATTGCCATTCAGAGGGACCTGGACAAACACAAGAATTGGGAACATCATGAAGTTCAACAAGGCCAAGTGCAAAGTCCTGCACATGGGTTCGGGCAGCCCCTGGTATCAATACAGGCTGGGAGATGAAGAGGATGAGAGCAGCCCTGCTGAGAACAACTTCAGGGTACACTGCTGGACAACAGGCTGGACATGACCCAGACATATGTGCTTGAAGCCCAGAAAGCCAATTCTACCCAGGTCTGTATGAAAATAATCACAGACACCAGGTCAATGGAGGTGATTCTGCCCCTCTACTCTGCATGGAACACTGCATCCAGCTCTTGGGTCCCCAGTATTAGAAGAACATGGACTTACTGGCATGAGTCTGGAAGAGGCTACAAAGATGAACAGAGGGCTGGAGTACCTCTCCTATGAAGACAGATGGAGAGAGATGGGGTTGTTTAGCCTGGAGATGTCTCTGGGCAAAAGGGGACCTGGAATAGTGACAGGGACAAATATTTTAGCAGGGCCTTTGATATAAAACCAGCAGTGATGAGTGAACTAAAAGACAGTTGACTTAATACGAGGAATTTTTTTTCGATGAGGGTTGTAAACCACTGAGGCAGGTTGCCCACAGAGCTGGAAACATTCACAGTCAGTTGGATTGGACTCTGAGCAACCTGATCATGTTGAAGATGCCTCTGCTTATTGCAGGAGGGTTGGACTAGATGACCTTTAAAATGTTTTGGTTTGACACTGGCCAAATGCCAGGCATCCACGAAAGCTGTTTGCTCACCTTCTCTTGGTAAGCTGGGCAGAGGAGAGGAAAAAAAAAGAAATAACAAAGGGCTCTCAAGTTGAGATGAGGAGAAAACTGGGAGAAAACACTCTAAGGGCAAAACAGATTGAAATTTAAAGGTATAAAGTGAATTTATTATTAACAAAATCAGAAGAGGACAATGAGAAGTAAAATAAGCCTTTAACCACTTCTTTTTCCCCCAGCTCCTCCCTCTTTCCCATTGACAGCACAGGAAGACAGGATGTGGGGGTTGTGGTCAGTTCATCACCCAAGATCTTCTTCCATTCGCTCAGGGAGAGGAGTCTTTCCTCTGCTATGCCATGGGGTCCCTCCCACAGGAGACAGTTCTCTGTGAACTTCTCCAGTGGGGCTCCAATCTCAGGAGCAGCAGTCCTGCCAAAACTGCTGCAAGGTAAGTCCTTCCCACTGGTCTTTCCAAAACTGCTGTGGCATGGGTCACTTGTCCATGGGGTGGAGTCCTCTAAGGATAGGCTGCTCTAGTTTGGAAGCAAAGGTTGTCTTTCTTGATCTCTGGAAGCAGGGACACTCTCTCTGCATTTGGGTCTCCCACTTGATCACACCTTTCTCCAGTATCCACCCACTCTGGCATTAGTACTTCTGCCACGGGCTGCAAGTGGATCTCTTCATCCCCCGTGGACCTCATGGTCTGCAGGGGGACAGCCTGCTTCACCATAGTCCTCACCATGGCCTGTAGAGGAATCCTGGCTCCAACATTTGGAGCATCTCCTCCCCTTTTTCCACTGACTTTGATGGCACCATTTTGTTTCCCCTCACATGTCCTCACCTCCTCCTCTTCTCTGACTAGAAGAAAAGCTGTTGCCCATAGGTAACACTGCCAACAAGTTACATCAATTAAAAGATTCCTGCAGGATCCCACAGTGCCGAGAGGTCAATCTTGTCTAAGTTCCTTGCCAGGAGTTGCTTGCCATACTTTTACCGCCAGCCACATGGCCCTGCTGCCACTGAGTGGGCAATGATGGCTGCTGCGGCGCTGGTGCTATTTAATGCCTCTCTTCATGTGGGGCAGCAGGAAGGGGAAGCTGTGGCCGCTGGCCCTGCCCTTCTGTCTTTGGCATGGCTCGCTAGGGGTGGCTAGGCAGGCAAGGCTTGCTGTGGGCCGTGCCAAGATGGCGGCAGCACATCGCCTCACGCTGCCAGGATGGCCCTGGTGGCGGCGCCTTGCGACCCTGGAAAAAAGCTGCACATGCACTGTTTTGATTTTCTTCTTAAAAATGTCATCACAGAGGCACTACCAACCTCTCTAATTAGGCTAGCAGCATGTCTATCTTCAGAGCCATCAGAGATGGGCTCTGTCAGACATAGTGGAAGCTTCTAGTAGCTTCTCACAGAAGCCACTTCTGTGGCCCTCCCCTGCTACCAAAAAACAGGCTGTGCCAAATCAACACAAATGTCCCTTCCAACTCAAAATATTCTATGACTCTATGCATAAGAAGGATCCTGCCCTGTTTACTGGGTCTCATGAAACTGGCCAGATATCCACAAGGAACAGAGGGAGTCCCTGGCTTTGTCACACTTGCTCAGACTCTCAGAAGAAACTCACCACAGCAGCAGATTTGGACTGAATGATTTAGTAAGTTCTACACCAATTTTTCCAGAATTACAAACACTGGTTATACCATCACTTATTTTATTTCCAATGGGTCTATCATCATGTTGGCAACAAACTATGAACTGCATTTTCACCTACTGTCTTGTCCCCATTGGTCAGAAGATCACCTCATACATTCTTAGCTACTAAGTGAAAGCTCCTCTGCTCTATCGATGCATCACAGGATGGGTTGTCACTGATGAACATAATGGAATTTATGGGTTTACAGTTTTAGGACTGAGCTGCATAAACTTGGGTTTCTTTTTCACTTTGTCTCACATCAGGCTGTGATTGTCTCTAGTGAATCCCTGCCCTGTCATACCACGGCATCTCCCAAGGTGGTTACTTAGGAGGTCCACACAAGTTCAATGAACTTTGCAAACTGCAGCCAACAGAAGCTACACACAAACTTTTTAAGGGTACCAGATGTTCAACCGTAGCTAGAAAACAGGACACCAAGAAAGGGTTTTGAACAGAAAATGGGAGTCAGCTTGGGGTGAGTCTTCCTCAAGGTTTTTTCATGCTGCATTAGGAACTTAAGCACATTTTGTCTCCTGAAGGCTTATGAGTTATTGCAGTCTGAGACAGTTCTGATCTCTTGTAATTTTGCTGTAAAACATCCAGATTTGAGCCTCTTGGATAAAAACTGTCTTCCAGCTCAGTGCTGGGATGAGTTACAGCATCAAGGAAAACAAGGAGGAAATACAGTCCAATGAGAGTTACTCTTTCCTGCTATGACTGTGTCCTGCAAACATGTAACATAGTCCATTCACCTGATGCAGTGGTCAGTGTTTGTAGTAATTTTAATACCTTCAGTTAAAAAGCCACACAAAAAATATAATTAGCAAGGTAGTAATATAAGGTGGTAGTTGAACATACACAAAGGTAAAAAATGCAAATCCATTCTGTGCAGTTTGTTGTTATTTTTCTTACCTGGCTTTTCTGAAGCATTTGTTGATCGGATGTATTTATTCTTCTACTTTTTATGGCTTATATTTCCGGACAGTCACTGCATTTGAGCCTCCACATAGTAAATATATAAAACATTTTATTTAAATAATTTATGGACAGTCTTTATCATTTCTAAACCTATGCTCTAACCTTTTAGATTTGGTATTATGAGGTGAACTGCCAAAGTTTCCAAAAAATGTTAAAAACACTGGAATAAAAACAAGACCATGAAGAGCCCCAAACAAAATAACAAGGAACATGATCTTGAAGAATGTCCTAAAGATGTAGGTGTTCGCTGCAGCCAGGACAACTACGCCCAATATCGTAGAAACTGCACTCCACTTCTCTCCAGTTTATCTTCCAGCACTTATTCACGATTTATTATTAATTTCTGTTCACCTTTATACCAATGTGCTCACAAATATTACCTGACAGGTCCCTGGGAAAACCTGCCAGGAAGACTGGATCCTGGGTTTGGGTTTTTGGTAAGATGCCAGAGTAAGTGAGCTGAAGTTCAAAAATGAAGAGCCAGTGGGCTTCTCTAACCTCTGCTAATTCTCAAGATTATTATCTCACACCTTTCAGTATTTTGCCATGTTGTCAAGGGCTCTTCTATTCACTGAAAATTAACACAACAGAAGGAAAGCAAGGCTGCGCAAATAGCGGAGTGAGATTTAGCCAAGCACAGAAGAAGAGAGGAAAGTATTACCTGCTACCTGAAAAGGCAGTTGCCAGTAAACATGCAAAGATGAATTAGGCAGCACATCAAAAGGTACTAAAGGATGGCAGTGAGCCAGTCTGCTTCAGAAAGCAAGCAGCCTTCAAACAAATCCTCTGATGTACTGAGAATTTGTTTGCTTTAACACAAGGAAGACAGAAGTCTGCGTGTTATTGCTGAAGATCTGAAGTGACTGGCTTAAGCCCTTTCCCAGGTATACAAAAGGGGCTTCTTGATAGTCAGCCACTGCAATTGATGAGCAAGCAAAAGTAAATTAAAATGCATTAGAATTATGCAGGAAACACAGAAACAATGCCTGCCCAAAGGAGCAGTTGCATTGGGCATCTTAGGATGATGCACAGCCTTTGTCAACCTGGGAGCTCCATGTGCCTTCCTCAGCATGTGACCAAGCCCAAGAAAACATCAGAAGAATATATGATATAGGAGACCAGTAAGGATTTTAAAAGCAGTCATTTGTTTGCAGCAACATTATGTAGTTGGAAACATTATCTAATTGCAGCAACACTATCAATATTTGGAAAGTTCACCACTGGCTGTTAAGCAGCCTGTGTAACAAGGATGCAATGATACCAACTTCCTTGGGTTTTTGGGGGGAGCTGCTTGCTCAAATGGTGCATCACTTCAGTTGTGCAGCCAACTGAGACTGGTTCATACATAGATGTTATATTGCAGAGAATGAATCTTCCTGGCTACACTTCCAGGGACACTAGAACCATGCCACAAGTGCTAACTGTTCCACTCTCTCATTTACAGTCTTCCTGCTGTAGCAGTGGATCTAGATCAGACCTTGTCTTCTAGGGAAAGCTGCCCTTGCACCAGAACCCATCTCCAGTCCCACTGTGGCACACTGAGCTGAGGGGTTTGCCCATCTGCAGGTGCTCTGAGAGGGCTGCCTCTCTGGGTATCTCCTACACTCACTTCAGGACAAAATGTTGTATCATCTGACATTCATATCATAAAAGACTGACACCATTAGGTTGTTTTAACTTCACTCTGGTCTTTGTATCTGAATACAACTCACTTTTTCTACTTACCCAGAATCAGGAATGGTGCATTTGCTACAGTGACCACAAATGGTACTCCACAGAAGAGCATCAATCCAAAGCTGCTTAATACAGCTAAGCCAGAAGAAAGCACTCCACAGCTTGCAAGCCAGATATTATTTCTTATACAGCTCAGTCTGAAAATATTTCAAGGAATATCTTAATTATGTGTCATATATTTCCCAGATAATACCCTGTCTGAAGAGAACACCTGATGAATGATGCTATGAGAGATCCCAGGTGTCAGGCAGTGGACATGATTTATTTCTGTTGGATGTGAGCATTCAAGTTGGTCATGTCTACACTAAAGACTTGTTCAGGTACTTACCATGAAACTCATCTAAGCAATTTGGAAATATGCACAGATAGAAAAGAAAAAGAAAGAAATACCTTTTGCCTATTATTAAATATAATTGTTATATTGTTAAGTATTGTTAAATATTGTTATATTATTAAATGTCACTGGAAGCCTGCAGTTTCAAGAACGCCTTCACTCGGCAAGACCAGAAATCAACTGCAGGAAGGTAAAGAAGAGCAGAGATTACTGATCACTGAGCCATAGTTTAGAGACATTTTACCTTAGGCAAGAGATGATTGCAAACGTTATTGTCAGGAAATATGTCACGGAGAAGAGCGGGATCACACTCTTGGTATTTCCTTCAAACTCCTGTTGTCTGGACAGTGAGGTAAAATAAGTCACCTGCCGTTAAAACAACAAGAAACCATAAAGCACTTTTCCTTTTCTTGTTCTTTCTACACAAGGAAAAGGCAAGGTCAAACATGACGTTGGCAGAGGAACAGTGCCCTGGCACTCGCAACCCGCTCGTCTTCGTCCGCCACCGTCCCTTTCCCTTTCCGCAACGGGGCTGCCCGGACATTTCGGGCTCGGCGGCTCCGCACGGCCGTAGCCGGCCCCTGCGTTACCTGAACGGAGCCGAGGCGCAGCTCCGCCACTTTGGAAGTGATGCTCTGCAGGAAGCTCTCCAGCCACTGCCGGCTGTCCTGCGCCTCGGGGCCGTCCTCCCGCAGGTAATACACCAGCTTCAGGGCCCTCGCCCTGAGCACCCGCCCGCCGTCCGTCTCCACGCCGCCCAGCGCGGCGCCCAGGAAGACGCTGCCGTTGACGGGGAAGCGGAGGCTCCCCGGGGCGGGCGGTCCCGCATCGCCCCGCCGCGACAGCAGCGGGTTGGGGCTGGCACAGACGCCGGCGGTGCGGGCGCAGAGCCGCTCGTACTCGGCGTCGTGCACGGCGGCGTTCAGCCGCAGCACCTCTGCCCACGCCGCCGGCTCCAGGACCGAGGTCCCGTTCGTCGCCACAGCGATGAGGGCGGCGTAGGCGCCCTCGGTGGGCAGCCGCGGGGCGGAGAAGCGCTCCGAGTCGTCGGTGGGGAAGTGCCGCCGCACGAAGTCGCGCTCGGCCTTGGCGGGCCCCCACGTCGGCGTGAACTGCCCCTCGATGTCGTTCGCCTGCCGCCGCGGTAGGAAGAGGAAGCCGGCGCCCAGCCCGCCCGACAGCAGCAGCGGCACCAGCACGAAGGGCCAGGGGCAGGCGGCCACGGCGCTCGCCAGCCCTTCGAAGAGCCGGCGCAGCGGCCGCTCCACGCAGTTGGTGTTGCGGCAGGAGCAGCGCTCCGCGGGGTCCCGCGGCCCCGCCATGGGCGAGGCGGGCACGGGCTGCCGGCAGCAGCTGCTCGCCGCGGGCGCGTCCCACGCCGGGGCCCGACGGTGCGGTGTGTGCCGGTGCCGGAGCAGAGGAGAGAGCAGAGAAAGAGAGAGGGGAGTTCAGAGCCGCCCTCTGCCCGTTGGGGCCGTGGAAGTAACGCGGAGCTTTCAGAGGTGGGCGCGGCCGGGGCCCTCCCTCGCCGTGACTCACGGGCTGTCCGGGACGGGCAGGAGGGCAGACCGGGCTCCCCCTTCTGCGCTCCTCCTTCTGCCTGGCCCGCGGTTCCGTGTGCTCCCGTTTCCTGGCCCCTCGTTTACTTTTTCTGTGTATAGTGAGCTGAACAAACTCACTGGGGAGTCAGATGAGTGCTGGGCCTGTAACGAGGAAACGAGTCAGGTACAGAAGAAGAAAGAGCATCTGGAATCAAGACTGTGTCATGCATTCCACTACATGTGAGTTGTCTCATGAAAGCTCACATGTAGTGGGCAGCAGGGATTTCAAGTAAATTTGGGGCTGCCTCGTGGGATCTAGTGCCTTGAACTCCCTGTAGTAAACAGGATTTAATGTGATCCTTGGGTATATAAACAGAGAACAAGGCTAGGGAAGGGACTTCCACAATATCTAATAGAATCAATAAAGCCACTGTTACAATATTAAATGCAGAACTAACTTCCATGTTATAAGAAGGATAGAGCAGAATTAAAAGGTGTAGTGATCCTGAGCAGGAGACCATTGCCTATTGAGGAGTTGTGAAGATCACATGGCAGCGAGCCCGCGCTGTGCTGTGTGTTCAGCGTGGCCCTTGCACCAGTCTGTGTCTGCAGGATAGCCTCAGCCAGCCCATGGCACCAAGAGGAGCCTGCAAAGCGTCTCCCACTTGGTACCAGTGATCAGAAAAGCTAGACTTCTGTTTCTTGTTTTCTCCAAATCTGCTGCAGCTGTCACTTCACCACTAAAGATTATTCTTCTATCTGGGAGCAAAACACAGACAGTGGTGATATGCATCTTGCAGTGTTTGCTCTTTCAGTGTACAGGTTTACAAAACAGGGGAGTGACAGAAGAAGAAATAAAAGAATTTGAAACAAGCGTTAGCGATTCCAGTTGGCAGGTCACAAGAATATCACTGGTGTGATATGTCAGAGCTTTATGCAGTAGCAATCATAGAAAGGATCTTTCCAAACCCAAACCCTACCCTGCAGCCTGGTGTTTTTGACATTGGTAAGTGACAGTGGTTTGAGTGGATTCTAGCTGAGAAGAGCATTAAGCTCAGATGTGGCAGTGCTAGTCAGGTGTCCAGATAATTAGCTAATCCCTAATAGGCATGCACTTCTTCTCCTTGCCTTTGAAAGGAGCAACTCTCTTCTCTCCTGCCAGTACTTGCGGAAAAGTTATAGGTATTTCTTCTCTCCCATCTAGGGAAGACAAGCTTGGAACCTGTGAGTGTAAAAGAGCCAGCCAGGCTCGGAGCAAGGTTAGGTTATATATCTCCTGCTGCACTCACCACCTAGGGCAGGTTGGATCCTGGCGATTCCCTTTTCCATGCACAGGTTTTCTGAGACGGGTATGTCAGCTCTGAATTTCTCTCTGGGAGACAGACACTTAGAAGCTATTTCCTGTAGTTCCTAACTTGTTGAAATCTAAGTGTTAATTAGCATGACTCCAGTGATAGCTTCTCTCGTATTCAGTTCTCAATTTCCTTGAATGGATTGACACTATATTAGAGTAAGAGCCGTTTACGTAGGAGGAATTTGTCAACAGAAAAAGGGGTAGCTACTTGATGTCATGTAGACATTTAGGTCTTGGTCTTAATTAAAGAGTTACTCAGCTGAAAAATATAGCCTTTGTTACCTAGAGATAACTAGGGAGCAGAATAGACATCTGGGTGGGAATAAATCACAAAGACACACCTATCCATAGCCAGACACCAAGAAGATTTCTAGGAAAATCTGGTCCTAGACCGTGTTGTGGAGGACTGACTGACATTGCAACAGACATGAAGAGATGGTGTCTAGCTGTAAAAAACAGCCATGAAGTGTTAGTGACTTTTTAAAGCTCAACAAGGCAGAAAATAAAATGTAACCACTTGTCCTAGCCAGTTTCTTTCTTGATCCTCAGGAGCTTGAGACAAACTCTGGTAACAGTCAAGGGGCAGGAACTGGACTAGTGGCAGGGTACCCAGTACACTGGGCTCAGGTGGTGCCCTTAGGTTAGCTCTAAGACTTGGGAATCTCACCTATGGCGTGGGAAGGTTGCTCCACCAACTCTCAATTCAGAATGGACTTGAAGAAAGAAGTATATGCCAGTCTTCTCTCAGAACCTGGATTCTTGTCCTTGTTCCCTGCCTATTCGTGCTCTGGTATTAATTTCCAATAGGATAAAATCTGAAATGCTGCTTGGAGCAGAGCTAGGAGCTGGTCTACAGGACTTCTGCCAACCAGCTTTCTGGTATTTTTTGGATGAAGGCACAAGCTCTCCTGATTATGTTGCATTTGATGAAATTTTCAAAGTGAAATCCCAGTGAATTGCTATTTAGACATATTGCCCCATAGGTAGATACTCGCAGCAATATTTCTTTGTGTTTCCCAATGCTAAAGAAACTATGAAAAGGAAAGCTGAAATATATATATGTATACGTAGATGTAGATGTAGAGGTATATATGTATCTGATATGCCTAGAAGACAGCTGAGATGGATAGCTAGCTGTTGCTTCACATTTAAGCAGATTGTATTTGCATCTTTGCAAGGTTTGTGGGGACGTAGCAATACAATCAATTAATTTCTAATATCCCAGTGGCCTCATCTCTAGGTGGTCTCAGACTGTACTTAACACAGGTACATTGTCCACTTCAAGACCACATAAACCAGTGAGGGTGGTAAACACCAAGCAAAAGGCCAGGGTGGGAGGACAAAAAGGAGAGAGGTCCTCACTGGAGCACAAGGAGGGAAGAGGAACCTGGACAGGGGCTGGAGCCAAGGGACCAGGAGCTGAGACATGCAGCCCTGAGGAGCTGTGGCCTGGTGTGTGCTGGCCTCAGTCTCCTGCACTGGCCACTGTCTCAGCAAAGGGGCTGAGCATGGCCTGGGGTGAAGAGCAAAAAGGGTAGTGAGAGGAAGAGGTGTCTAAAGGGAAAAAAGGTTTTTTCCTCAGGGCTGGTTGGGGTTTTTTTCAGTTTCTCTTGATACCAGAATCTGTATTTAATAGATTTTCAATTGCAAATAAATTCATTCATGGAAATTCCCTGAAAGAGTAAAAAGTTTTTGCCAGTAACAGTATATTGCTGGAATTTTTCATGATACAATTTGTGACACTTGGTTCTTGTCTTTTTCCAGGACAAGGACACTTGCATTACCAAATTCTCAGGTGGCTTATTTCTGCCTTGCCTTTGAAATGTCAGAACAGAGGGACATTTCCTAATGCACCCAGGCTGCCATTGGAAAGTACTTTGCCAATTGTTTGAGATACACTGGACACTGGAATTAAAAATAAAAATTCCTGTCATCAAGAAGACTTTTGTCCCATTTCTTCCATCATAATGCAGCATCAGGCATGACTGTGCCATTTATGAAGGAAATTCACTAACCTGATTTTTACAGTGCCCACCACAGCACCTGACAGAGAAGTTCTATCCTATCCTATCCTATCCTATCCTATCCTATCCTATCCTATCCTATCCTATCCTATCCTATCCTATCCTATCCTATCCTATCCTAATCTCCTTTCCATGCATTTTGATGAGGCAGGAGTACTCTGAGGGCTGCTTAGCTACTGCTGTGCTTGCATGCATGGCTGAAAAAATAGGACTATGGTACCTGTGCTAGGTACCTGTGCTCTGTGGTTTCCTGACCACAGATGATGTGGGACATGCAGTGCCTCAAAGCCCTGTGCGCAAAGGGAGCAGTTTCATTGTGAAACTGGGGGCTGCCAGCACACTCAGAATTGCAAAGGAAATTAATTTTATTAGTCATGTTAGCAATTAATACATACCAACCCCTGGATTCTGGAAAAGCCACTGAGCCACAGAAGGAGATGGCTTCTGAGAGAGAGGGCTAGGAAGGCAGTGCACTTTCAGGGCATCCCCTAGATGAAAATGGTGTGCATCATGTCATCCTCTCCCCTCCACCCCAGGACCACACCTTGTATCTCCACCTCAGCAGTAGCCAATTTCAGCATCATCTCACATGGGGCCAGCACATGAGATGAGGTCATAACAGCCCATGATAACACTTCCATACCAACAATGGCTTTATTCTGTATTATTCCCCTTTCACAGGATGAATCCCACCAGGTGTCTGACACATAGTTTAATTTCTGAAGGTTAGAGTCCTAGCAACTAACAATAAGGTCTTCTTCTACATTATCTTGTTGACGTGCACAACGGTGGACCAAATATGGCAGTTCTTAGACACGTCTTTTTTCCCTGACACAGACACAGTAAAGATATCTCAGGGGCTGATGTGAGCATAGGTTCTGTTATCTGAGGAGGGGATGACCTTTCAAATCCCTCTGCATTTCATTTACTGGAAGCAAATTTTATTCTTCCTTGTCAGGGAAATTTTCTGGCAAACACACAACTTATGTGGATCTTCTGCTCCATAGTGTTTCTGTGCCAACAGGATATTAGAGAAGTTATCTCCATGTGAAGCTAATCCAGTCTTTCCTGGAATATGTTGATTTATTATGGGTGTGCATGTCAGGGTAATAGCTTCTTCGGTTTCTGGTGCAAACAAGGAAATCGCTTGTCTGGCTCTATCTGTGCCTGTATATTTTTATCAATGTGTCCTTTTCATTTGCCTAGCCAGAATGTTTGCAGAGGTGTTGGTACCTGGGTAACTTTATATACAGTATAGCAGAACCCTCTAGGGAATTTTTGCTTTTCCTAGAATGCTGACATGTCAGATGGAGACTTTATGTCTTTGGAAAAAGATCTTTCTGATCCCCGAGTTTTGGCAGCCACAGTCAATATTACTTCTCAAAAATGAACCAGAGTGCATCCTGATGCTACCCTGGTCTTTCCCTGGTGCCTTCACTTTGCTTCACCCTTTACTTTATCCTTGCTGGTCACCTGGAATATGGTCCAGTGAAATGACTCCTGTTCTGTTAGCTCTCAGATGACTAATTGTAAAACACAAATG